CCTCTATTCGACCGTCTACCTCTATTCTACCTTCGTACCGCTATTTCACCCTCTACTTCGACTTCTAACCTCTATTCTACGTCTACCTCTATTCATACCTCTACCTCATATTCTACCTTTCTACTTCTATGCTACCTTCTAACGGTTTCTACCTTCTACTTCTATTCTACCTCTACTCTAATTCTACGTTCTACCTCATAATTCCACCTTCTACCTTATTCTACCTTCTACCCTCTATTCTACCTTCTACCTCTATTCGACCTTCTACCTTTATTCTACCTTACTACTCTATTCTACCTTCTACCTCTATTCTTACCATTCTACCTCTATCCTACCTTCTACCTCTATTCTACCTTCTAATTATTCTACCTTCTACCGCTATTCTACCTTCCACCTCTATTCTACCTTCTACTGCATTCTACCTTCTACCTCTATCTACCTTACTTCTACCTTCTACCTCTATTCTACTCTATCTCTACCTCTATATCTACCTCTATTCTACCTCTATTCTACCTCTATTCTACCCTATCCTACCTTCTACCTCTATCTCTACCTTCTACTCGATTCTACCTCTATCTCTACCTCTATTTCTACCTTCTACCTTTAATTCTACCATCTATGCCTACCTGTCTACCTCTATTCTACCTTCTTACCTCTATTCTTTTTATACCCTTCATCTCTTTCTCTCTCTCTCGCTCGATCGCTCTTTCGCTCTCTCGCTCTCTTTCTCTCTCTCTCTCTCTCTTTCGCTCTCTCTCGCTCTCTTGCTCTCTCTCGCTCTCTTTCGCTCTCTATGTGTGTTTATATGTGTCTTCTCTCTCTCTCTCTCTCTTTCGCTCTCTCTCGCTCTCTTGCTCTCTCTCGCTCTCTTTCGCTCTCTATGTGTGTTTATATGTGTCTTCTCTCTCTCTCTCTCTCTCTCTCTCTCTCTCTCTCTATTCCTCTCTCTTTCACGCTCTCTCTCTCGCTCTTTCTATCTATCTCTCTCTCTCTCTCTCTCTCTCTCTATCTATCTATCTATCTCTTTATCTCTATATGTGTCTCCTTTCTCTCGTTGCAGCTCGGCCTACGATACTAAGGCAAAGCAGAAGGTGGCGATCAAGAAAATCTCTCCTTTCGAGCACCAGACCTATTGCCAGCGCACTCTGAGAGAGATCAAGATTCTGACTCGCTTCAAGCACGAGAATGTAAGTGTGACGAACGCACGCACACACGTGCACGCACGTACGCGCACGCACGCACGCACGCACGCACACACGAGCACGCACGCACACACGCACGCACGCACATGTGCGTGCGGCACGCGGTGACTAATGCGGTTATCCACTGGCCGCGCGGGTTTTCTGCACGCGCACGTGTAAGGACGCACATGATAATTGTCATAATTTTCACGCCGTTACTGCTGCAGTCGCACGCAAGCACGCACGAACACAAGCAGGTGTGTATGTATGTATGTATGTGTGTGTGTGTGTGTGTGTGTGTGTGTATGTATGCGTGCGTGCGTGCGTGCGTGCGTGCGTGCGTGCGTGCGTGCGTGCGTGCGTGTGTGTGTTGTGTTTGTTGTGTGTTATGTGTGTGTGCGCGCGCGCGCGTGTGTGTGTGCGTGCGTTTATGTGTGTATGTGCGTGTGTGCGTGTGCGTGTGCGTGTTCGTGTGCGTGCGTGCGTGCGTGTGTGTGTTGCCGCGGTAAATTAGTCTTTGCTACGTGTACTCCGCTACAACAAGAATATTACAAGAGTAACTATAGGTGGCGGGCACAATAAGGAGTTAAGATGGAAGGCTTAATGGCCCTGGCTAAGCGGAACATTGGAAAAACCTTTGATATTAGATGTAAGGCTTTTATATTATGGGTAAGATGTGTCCGCGTGGGCATTAGAGAAACCAGAGAGGGCGATTCAACGCTCGCGTCACACAATAAAGCACTCTAAGCCATTATTGTTACGCGGTTCGTCATTGAAAATCCCATGCTTGAAACGTTGTAGTAAATCTTTGATAATACGCATCTTATTTCTGGTTTTAGATATTCATCCGTACTTAATTAATCCGGAACTCGGGGAATTATTCGATCATTCCGATTATTAATCCGGAATTCCGGGAATTAATCGGTCATTCCAATTATTAATCCGGAATTCCGGGAATTAATCAGTAATTCCCGGATTATTAATCTGGTATTATGGCCTGATGGGTTATCACTTTCGTTTGTCTTTGCTAAACAGCAATTATCGGTGCGTATAGATTGTACATCGTTGGGCTTTTCTACATCTATTGGCGTGTGTTGGTATTGGTATTGTTATTATTGTTATTGTTATTATGTTTATACTGTTATTATTGCAGGTTATCAACATTCAAGATATCATAAAGGCGCCGACCATCGACGACATGAGAGATGTGTATCCTTATAAAGTGTAGCGTCATATTATGTGGTGCATGCTTAGACACCAAAACCCTCACGCACACACAGACGCACGCACACACACACACACACACG